GAGAGAGAGAGAGAGAGGGGAGAGAGAGAGACAGACAGACAGACAGAGAGAAAGAGAGAAAGAGAAAATTAATACAAGTAAACGATTTGTCACTGAGCTGATTGATGTTACCTTCTACATTCCGACTCCAGAGTTTCGTAGACGAACCCTCCAGGTATCACGCCGTACACTTGTCAGGGGATATCAGCAATATCTGCTTATAATTTTCGATTTTCTTTTTTTATATGCACTTTTCATTATTGAAAGTTTTTTCATAGTGTACCTGTGTGCATTCACGCACGTGCGCCCATGCGCCTGCCATGCGTTATATATATATATATATATATATATATATATATATATATATATATATATGGGTGGATTTAGGCAGCAAATATTCATTTAAACATGTTTCATTGAACAGTATAGGTATGTCTATTTAGTTTTATAATTTGGAGAAGTTTATCACGGCTGAGTGATGTTGATTCAGTCATGCCTACTACGTAGTTTCGTGAGCAAATCAAAATAACATGCTCACTCTTTAGGGCTTGTTGTCTTCTCTGCTACTATTTCTCAATTTTACCGTATTTATGTGTGGTTTGATGTAATCTGACATCTTATTATAGATGAGTGGTTTTTCACTTGTTGTTAAGTGGCATGGGGTTTATTGATGTTTGTTTGCTGTTGCATTGTGGTCACCACAATACAAAGCAATAAAACAAGAGTGAACATGTTATCTTGATATGTTATCTCCAACATAATTCTGTTAACGCTCTATCCTAACTTTTGATATAGAGCACCTTTATATGACAAAAACCTGCCTGCTCAAAAGGCTTTTCCTCCCGGAAAAAGGCCCAGCAATTCTGGTACGTAATAATAATAATAATAATATATATATATATATATATATATATATATATATATATATATATATATATTGTTATGGTAATTTACCCACGCATGCATGGACCCTCAGAAATATAAATAGGGAGCAGGTACTGCCTTTTAGAGAGGGAAGTTTCCAACAGTCACCTCTGACAATCGGACCGAGCATTCTTGCTGTAACACTGTTGTTTGTATATGTTTGTATTACTGTTTCTGTTAATATATTTGTTTAACTCAATTCCTTGGATCTTTATTTCTGCCCTTAACAAGGCCACAAACATATATATATATATATATATATATATATATATATATATATATATATATATAATTATTCCTCGAATCTAGGTAAGAATCCTCAACAGACTGCAGAAAGCATTGGACGACCGTTTCGTTCTTTTTGGGATTCATCAGCAGTGCGCATCCACTATCGAATATCAAACCTGAACCGTTATGATACAACTCAAGCGTTATAACCCTGGGTCAGCGGTCCTCGGTGATGAAAAGGAAATTAACTAGAACCACTATAACGCAGCTACTCCTAATTCCGGTGGCGATACTCATCCAAGCATACATAACCCACTAGAACCGGCCCCAAGAGCAATATCTTCTTTCACCAAGCCACTCCATCCAGAGCATTAAACCTGCATCAAGCATGGGCTATATAGAAAAAGATTGGAGATTTTAATAATTTCACATAATAATTCTTCGGGCCTAGAGTAAGAATCCTCAACAGAAAGCAGAAAGCACTGGATGGCCGTTTCGTCCTTTTTGGGACTTATCAGCAATGTGCATCCACTACTGAGAATCGAACCTATACTTTTGTCTTCGAGAAAAGTATGAATCTGCTATACCCTTCTATCTATCAGATATCATCAAAAAAGTCTCGTTACTAGCATATCAAATATTAGAGTATTTCAAGCAGGACTGAGAACCTTACCTGTCTAACAAACATCCGTAATCCGCGACTGCCTGTCTGCTAATGCGACGAGCCAATCCCTGTTGCAGGCGCTTTGTACATTTTTTGTTTGTTCAAAACCCACAGCGCCCACCTGTTGTTTATACTGCAACTCTTCTGAGCGGACCGTAATTACAGTTTCTTGGAAAGAGTGTATTATCTGGCGTGATCAACAATGAATGAACAGGGCCAGTGGGCTCAAACTCTCGGTCACAATGACTTGTGACTTTGTGCTAACGCAACAATAGTCCTGTCTACCCAATTTGACTCAAAACGTGGTATGGTTTTCAGGCATTTTCAGCCATCAAAAAATAACCTTCCTTAAAGATTCGAACCCGGTTCTCATGGGCAGAAAGCGAACCTTCTAACCACTAGGCCACGTGCCTATTACAAGAATCAGGAAAATACTGATACAATCTCCATAGTCAGGGACCAATATTTTTAAAATAAATTAATTATTAACCATTTTAGAATATTCATTATTATATTTTTTATTTTATTTATATTTTCTTATTTATTTAATTTATTTATTTGTTAAGAGGCTTTGGTTTTCTGATATAATTACGCTAGAAACGAAGAATTAATAGACGAACAATCGAAATGTCTTCTGCAGCCATTTTCCCTTTCAATTCAGCATATTTAATTCCAAAAATCAATATCAATATCAATTCCAATATCACTAAGCGATCTAGTCCTAGGTATGACGATACACTAGTCTTTGCCGAGACTGGAAGTGAGGAATGAGTAGATTCGGCCAAGATGTGATAGCAATGCTTCATCTTGGTTTCATTTGGTTCTTGTAAAGATAAAGAACTAGTAGCCATACCCAGCTGATCGACCAGAAAAAGCGTTCAATTAGAATGGAACAAAAACAGTATCATGTTTAGATGTAACTGAGTCTATTTTCTTCAATTACTTGAAAGTACTTTAATTAAAAACCATTTTGAATTAATGCAGTTACTGATATAACAGAAATCGTCTATATTTATTCAATCGAAGTTAGCCGTGGACATGAAGGGGTAAAACAGACAACATGAAAATTGGTTGAAAGAAAAATAAGAAAGAAACCAGTAAAATTCGTCATTTTTCGCTATTTACACGGATTTTCACTATATGGGTATATTAAATTGTCATGGTTATCAAATTAAATGATTGTTAAACAATTAATTTATTTTTGGCTAAAATTGAGTGTAGTTTGTATTAGATTGCTTGAAAATTGAGGGAGTTTTTAGTTTAAAAATTTCGTTTTTCGCTAAACGCATTGGCGTAGAAATAAAAATGAGGTATCGTTGAGTTCGTCATGATGTAAGTAACCTACATACCGAATATGTAAGAAATCGGAGGAAACAAGTTTAATTTATCGATTTTTGATCGGCTTTAGTGATTATTGATTTTTTTAATGATCGATTTTTTACGCTAAGAACCTATCTCATACATTGTATAATGTATGCGCCAAGTTTGGTCAAAATTGGTTGGATGAATCTAGAGTGTAAAGGTGTCACATAGACAGACAAACATACAGACACACAGACATCCTCTGTTTTATATAGAGGGATGACAAGACGAGCCAGGTAATGTCTGCTCTGTGATGCTGAAATGTAACTGGCTTGGTTTTGGATGTAGTGAAGGTTACAAGCCAGTTCCGCCCCTAATTGCAGTGTGAGAGCAAGGTCAGAGGTGAGATCAGCTGCTAGGTTCTGGTTATTTATACTTGGGGTGGTACACCCATAAACCGTAATATCATCCGCAATTAGTTAATATATAACTGTAAAAGGTTAGACCCGATAGAACAGTCTTGGGAGCGCCTGCATTGACTTCATGGACCTTTAAAGACTGACATTAACCCCGGCCTTCATGGACCTACTCGATAAGAAAGACTTGATCGACAAAACTATCCCAGAAATATTATAGCTAGGAGATTTGTGTAACAATCACCTATACCACACCTTGTCAAAAGCTTTCAAGATATTTAAGGCGGCCTCTCCCGTAATGGACCTATCATCAAGCGTTTCACTGATTCTATGCATAAGACAATGCATCAGCACTGGACATAAAGGATGGAAACCTATACTATTTTTTCACTTTGGTGGTTGTTTCTGTTGAGGTGATTGGCAACCTTCTTGTTGATGATAGCCTCCAAAGGTTTGCTAACACTGAATGGAGAGATATTGCAGCATAGAGCTGACCAACTCCACAGACTTGAGAGACAATTCTCCTTCAGTTGGTGGTTAAGCACTTTTAACCGGACATGTAAATTTCATGGAATCAAAGTGTTTTAATGAGTTTGGAAAATTCTCAAGTCGAAACAGAATTATCGCAAAGTTTGTGTTCCATGAGAAAGTGGGGAGGCAGGTAGGGATGGCCCGTGTCGTATACTTACTTAGCTTTGTTGTAGGCAACATAACGGTTATCGTCACGAAAAACGGAAAGACAAATCTGCGACTAGAAATCTGGCCTGTCGCACAAATAACATTACGAAAGGTATATACCCATCTCTTCTTCCTCTAGCAATGGGTTAAATAGCAAAGCTGATGGGGCTCTTTTGCGCGAAGGTGGCAAACGGTGTTGCAAGTATTTAAAATCTTTTTTTCCGAAACAAAACCGCATTGAGTATCGAAACTACTAGATTAGCGATTAGTTTACAAGACTAACTGACAATCCGTTGCTCTACAGCAAGCGTCGTAAATATTTATTAAACTGAGATTAGAGTGGAATAAGGCCACAGTAGAACTCACTTTGATGACAAGGCTAACTGGCTTGTCATTGCTTTACAATAGGCGTCTTTATTTTATAAATGTTTAATGTCGGTATTTTCGCACATGCGTGCGTCTGTGTGCGCGATTATATGACTCTAAATCACAGCCATTTTTTTAAACGTGATTACAAAATCGTCCTTAGATATTTTTCATCGCGTTAAAGATAATCATTTTGACACGGACTTCATCGTTGATAAAGAAGAAAAGAAGAAACCGGCTCCATTTTCTGATTTGGTCGTCAACTCTTTAATCCAGTCAATATGGCCGTCGATTAACGCCAAAATCGCTAGGGAGAGTAATTTGCAGAGAAAAAGTGGCAATTCGGAAGACAACTGTAAGTGTTTCTTTGCGGAACGAGATACAAAAGTGAGGGAAGAAATGGAAAAAGAAAAATCCGTGGAAAAAAGAAAGGCAAAATCGGATTATTTTCCTCGGAGTGGAAAAAGGGGGACGTAATTATGGATAAGAAAGAAAGAAAGAAAGAAAGAAAGAAAGAAAGAAAGAAAGAAAGAAAGAAAGTAAATTAAATGAAAGAAAACACGAATGAAAAAAGGAAAATTGACAAATAAAAGGAATGAAAAGAAAGAAAGAATTATTGAATGTTTGAATATAAGACAGAAAAGAATGCAAGAAATAAATGAAAAGGAGAAAAATGAATGTATAAAAGAAAGAAAAAGAAGAAAGAATGGATGGAAGATAATGAATGAATGTAAATGCATAAAATAAATGAACAAATGAAAAAAGAAAAATGAATGAGTGAAATAAAGAATGATAAAAATGAACGTATTAAAGAAAGAAAGGAAATTTAAAGAAAATGAATAAATGAAAGAAAGAAAAAAACAGATTTTAAAGCTTAATAAAAAGGATAATAATTCCCAAAAGAAAAAGAGTTAAGAAAAAACGAGAAATGAAACGAAAAGATCGAGTATAAAAAAGTGAAAAACTGAAAAAAAAACATGAAACAAAAATAGAAATAAAAAAGAAAAATGGACAAAAGTAAAAAAAAAATGAAAAATACATACGTTGATAGTGAAGAGAGCGTGCAAGATATGACCCCAGATTAATCATATCTCCAGTGTAAAACTGTCGCCAAGCTGTCGTTTTATTGCACTTAGTAAAAGTAGAGAAAGATATCTGTTTAATCCCTCACTTGATGCTGAAAGACGTGTGATTATCCATGCACAATCTAGCTTAAGAAAAAGCTGAAAAATCATCCAACGACTGCCTTTGTGGCTCAAATACGATAGGGAAACAATATTCTGAAATCTTTTAGCATTGATATATCACGTATTAGACTTTCTAGTAAATACGGAGAGTCTTCTTAGGCAATTCTAAATTAACACCACCTGTGAATAAATAAATCTAACTCGGAGATATTTCCAGCACGGATAGAACAATTGTTCAAGCTCGGGAGAAAGGCTGATTTTAAAGGGAAGCAGACAAGTTTTCTCCTTTGGAAGGCTTGGCCCGATATAACCTTACCAATTGTCTCCCCATCTATCTTGTGTCATACTAAGTTGAACTAAGTAAAGACTTATATTAATAAATTCTTTCTGCAACGTCTATAACTGTGTATTTTATACCAGCGCCAGAACTCGGACTCCAACTTTGCTTTCAAATGCCGATTTTCAAAACCTTGTTAAATTATGAGATTTCTTTCATTTGGCCTACTATTAAACAAAGCTAGCCTTAAGAAATATTCACATTCACGTCAGTGTCATAACATATTAGGGTTTTATGTATACCACAAATATGGCTGCCAGAGTAGCAGTGAATCTTGAACAAAATAGTCAATGATTTCAAACTTTATCAGTATGCTTTTCAATTCAGAATTTCCCTTCCCTTAGATTAGCTATCATACGAAAGTTGAAGATCACAAGGTACCATATTATAAAGTTAATTTTCGAGTTTTCCTTCTCTTGGACTGGTTGCCTTTCCAAAGATAAAGAGCGTTTTCCGCTATTATTTACGAGGGCTTGAATCCAATTTTTATCTTCTGCTGCTTTATCAATCTTAAATATGTCTGTCTATCCCATTATATATGCGAGTTTGAATGAACGTTTTCTTCTAGATTAAAGAGTACCATCTAACCTTTTATTTACGGGGGTTTGGTTTGTTTTACGGTATATCAACCTCAATGGGTTATTTAATGCCGACAAGATTTTTATTGCTGGTAATGTTTTTCTTCAAAAATCTATTTTTGGGAATATTTTTCCTTGATGAAATTTATAGCTGGTAATATTTTTTTTTTCAAAGGATGTATAGCTGTTTGTATTGCTGGTAATTTTTTTTCTTTTTAAAGTGTTGCTGATGATAATTTTTCCTTCAAAAATTATTGCCGGTAATATTTTTTAATACAAAGTATTTCTGGTATTAAAATAGGTGCTACCACCCCGGGTCAGGGTGGACCTGGGAACACCAGCAATTAATGTGGTTCCTCGCTCCTCAAATCTCCTGATCAAAGGCCTTGCTGTTGGACGTAGTTTATCGACTTTCCCAGGAAGCGGACGTAGTTTATTGTCTTAGTCAGGACGCGGATTGTTGTGTACCGTCTTACACAGGACGCGGATGTAGTTTATCGTCTACCCAGAACATTAGGGGTGTTCGAATCCCAGTTTTCAATCGATTCGGTGAATGTTGCATGATGTGTCTTAGATGTATTTAGTTTTTCCAGCATTCTTTCATATTTCTTACATCGATTTCCAGCCGGGCTCAACACGCGAAGCTCGTAATAAACGGTCCTACTAGTATTGAAAACAAGACAAAAACACGTTTTAAACAGTCAAATACGAAGAGAAATTAACAAAAACTAAAACACCCCACCATAAAAATGGCTAAAGAAGTGGCTGAAAGCGCTCGGGACAATACGGACAATTTTTGCACTCCCTTATTACCAACAAACGGGAAAAAAAGTAAGAAAAACTAAATAAAACCTTATTTTAAAATTCTTTACCTGTCATAATCAACAAACCAGATAGATAGATAGATAGATAGATAGATAGATAGATAGATAGATAGATAGATAGATAGATATTAAAGAGATGAGAGAAGCCGCAAAGGTTTTGGGTTATAATGTGGATTTCTTTAAATACATATTATAGTTTATTTTCCATATTTTTGCTACACGCTATTCCGGTTTTGCGACATTCATCAGGCAAGAGTAATGTTTTTTTTATTACTACACGCAAAGGACAATGATGAAACATCGGTAAAATTTTGAAATAACTACTATTTGCCTGATGAAGATCACGAAACCGGAAACCAGTGTAGAAAAATGTGGAAAATAAAGTATAATATATATTTTAAAAATGCACATTATAAAAAAAAACCTTTGCGGTTTGTCTTTTCTCTTTAAAATATACACTTTTCTCTCGTTGGAACAACTACAATCTTTCCTTAACATACATACATACATACATACATATATATATATATATATATATATATATATATATATATATATATATAATGAAAATTCTGCATAATTCGACAACTTAATTCTCATTAAATTTAGAGCTTGCGTCTTTCTGTGTGATTTCTTGTAGCTTATTTACATTATTCGGACTATTGTACTCATCTTTGTCGCCATATTTATTACAACGTTTCGCCCGTTGTACGCTCCGGCCTTCTTCAGGTGGTTGGAATGTCGAACTGAACCCTTTATTTCGCTCACTGGGGTAGACTGTTCTAGTTCCACGGGTCATGTTTTTTAATGGATATCAGTTGTCAATTATCCCCTGTTAATTTCCCTCTGAAATTTCTCCACTACCTTAAACGGGTATTGAACTCACACTCTTTGGGTCCTGTCACTGGATCTAACTAACACCTCAAGGACACATGTCACAGTGGATAAAGGCGTTAGTTAGATCTAGTGACAGGACCCAAAGAGTCTTGTCACTAGATCTAACTAGAGGAAACGTTGTAATAAATACGGCGACAAAAATGAGGACAAAAGTCCGAATAATGTAAATAGTGTACATAAGACCTCATTTCAGAAATATAGACAGATTCTTGTAGTTTAATCGAAGAATATGACTCTCGATTCCATATAAGAACAGTTTGGAATTGGAACAATTTGAATTTAGTTTTCATGCTATTTTTCTCATACATTTCGATTTTTCGCATTTCTAAACATCTTTGGCCAATTAAATTCCATATCAGAATTTATTTCTCGATATTCTTACTACTCCATGTCACGTAATGCTGCCAGGTCAGATGTACAACGCATTCCATACCTTCTAACGGATGATAGAGATTGTCGACTTTACCTACTCACCGCTACTTAATATCCTCGCTTATGGCTATATAATAACTGGAAAAATTATATATATATATAATTTAATGGAAAGGTTAACAAATTGTGCGTTCTGGGTATGACGATAAACTACATTTGGCAGCAAGACCTCTTAATCGGAAGATTAGATATTTTGAGGAGCTTCTTAATTGCTGTTGTTCCCAGGACTACTCTGTTAGAGTCCCAGCTATGGGAAAATATTGAACCCCAAACTAAAATCAACAGTACATTTTTATAAAATATGCAGCAATACATTTCTATAGCAAAATTACAATCAATACAAGACTAAAAAAATATAAAAATACATTTTAATAGTAAAATTACTAACAATATATTTTATGATCTACAAACTATATATCTAAAAAATATATATACCTTTACCCTGAATGGATCAAATTATGTACAATGTTTTAGTTGAAAGCATAAAATTACGTACAAAATATTTAGATTTCGGTATTAAATAACATAGAGATTGATATGCCGCTAAACAAAAGCAATCAAACCAAATGTGTGTAACAACTTATTGCATATATTTTTCTATGGCTGTAGTTATGAGAGTATTTTGTGTAAGTGATATCTCTCTCTCTCTCTCTCTCTCTCTCACTCATTCTCTCTCTCTTTCTCTCTCACTCACTCACTCATTCTCTCTCTCTCTCTCTCTCTCTCTCTCTCTCTCTCTCTCTGAAGCGCAGTACTGGATTAGCGCCAATGTTTCATCAATTTACAATTGAATGTTCTAGGTTAACAAATTTTTCAAATTTTTCACTCGCAATTCTTGCTTGTGGAAAACTACTCCGGTTTCCTGCTTTATTGCCTTGCCTGGGGTGAAACGATGAAAAACAAATCTCTCCCTCTCTCTCTCTCTCTCTCTCTCTCCTCCCCCTCCCCCTTTGTACCATCAACCTGAGTAGTGCGTCAGAGGCAATTTGTCAAGAAATATAGTGATTGACCAGAAAGTAATGTTGGTTCTTGTGTTCACTCAAATATCTATGAATAATCTATGTCACTTCTGGCATCTTGCATTGCAATCAACTTTGATCTTCAAAAATTAAAATGCAATGTCAGTCCTAATCTTCTGTCTCCTTAATCCCTTTCTTTTATTCATCTCTCGTCTTCTTTTTCACATATTCCTGCACTCAGAAATCACATGCGTCTTAGTGGCTTCATCGTCTTGTTTGGGGTGAAATGCTTTTTTTTTCGCATCTCCGATATTGATTCCTCTTTTTCTAAAAAAAATATGGAAATTTTAATCATTATTATATATATATATATATATATATATATATATATATATATATATATATATGCATATAACTCCGTATATGGTCACTGCTATCATCTCTAAACTGGACCTACACAAAGTATGTCGATTTGATGGTATCTCTGCAATAGTCCTTAAGAATTGTGCCCGTGGACTGTCTTCTGTTCCCTCTAAGCTCCTCAGTAAATGCCTGATTACTTCTTGCTTTCCTACTTGTTGGAAATCCTCTTCTTTAGTTCCAGTCTTTAAGAACTATCGGTCTATTAGCCTTCTACCTATTTCTGACAATGTACAAGGGGCTCTAAGCCACTCTTTCACCTCGCAGTGTCTTCTTTCAGATAAACAATATGCTTTTCGCTCCCCTAGGCTAGCTGCTGCTTTATAAACGATTATTGCTCGAAGCGTCTATCAAGCTTTAGATAAGGATGGTAAAGCTCGAGCTGTTGCTTTGGATATCTCGAAGGGTTCGACAGGGTTTGAAAATGATGGTCTTCTTAAATTGAAAGATTATGGTATTTCTGGACGAATTTTTGATTTGATTCAGTTAAATCCCGGAATGAAAGTTGTCTTGAACGGCCCACCCTCTAGATCTTTTTGTATTAATAAAGCTAACTCCCATGGATCTATCCTCGGACATGCGATATTGGTTCTTTGTGTTGTGCTAGAAAATCTTTCTCGCCAGAATCTATCTTACACATCTAGAAGTCTACCATTCCTCCATGCTTTGAATTTTCTAGTCTGATGCTTCTACTATGTATTTAAAGATTCTTCATAAAATACAGACAAGAATCTGCAATGTTATTGGCCTTGACCTGGCATCTCGGCTTCAGTCAGATTTCTACCATTCTCTTTGCATTTTTTATAAATATTGTTTTCTAATTTCTGTCTATATCTCTGAGATGAGGTATTATGATTACTTGCATTATTTACATTATCCGAACTGCTATCATCATCTTCATTGCCATATTCACAAAGTTTGTACGTTCCGGCTTCCTTCTGATGATTCGAATTTCAAACCGAACCTTTTATTTCGTCCACCGGGATAAATCGTTCTAGTTCCACATGCCATGCCTCTTCCAGATGTTTCAGTTATTTCCCTTTTACTCAATTCTCTATGTTTTTGGTTCACCACTGCTGTGGCCTGGTATTGAACTCACAACTCTTTCGGTCTAGTCACTGGATCTAACCAACGTCTTTATCCACTGGGCCATGTGATGAGCGTCCCACTTTGGCACTTAACCCTTATAAATTAAAGCGCAGTACTGGATTAGCGACAATGTCTCATCAATTTACAGTTGAAATGGTTAGGTTTATTCGTCAATTCTAGGCTAACATTTTCTTCAATTTTTCACAATTTTTGCTTGTGGAAAGCTACCCCGGCTTCTTACTTCCAAGTCAAGATTGATCTTCAAAACTTTAAATGCAATGTCAATCGTTATCTTCTATCTTCTTAATTCCTATTCTTTTACTGTCCTCTCTTAATAATGTTTTGTTTTTCTCATAATCTTTCCTACTCAGTAACGCTTTGCATTTTAGTGGCTTTATTGCTTTGACGGTGGATTAATGGATAGCGGCTCGGATTGAATTCGAGTCCATTACATTCACTTACGTGCTAATAGCCTTGAGAAAGATATGAATCCTTTTCTTCTCCCTCCCCCAGCTACGGGTAAATAGCAGGACTGACCGGGTTCTATAGCCTTGGATGCCAACTGGTCTACTGCAGAAAGAAATGGCAACCTACTGCGGAAGAAAAAAAATGGTCTCTTCAGTCATGTATCGAAAGATACATGATGGCTTAAGCGTGTATCACGCATGGCACATAACTGACTGGGGTGAAATGATGAAAAACAAATATATCTCCCTCCCTTTCACTTTTCTCTCTCTCTCTCTCTCTCTCTCTCTCTCTCTCTCTCTTTTACTCTCTCTTTCTTTCTCTCACTCTCTCTATCTCTCTCTCTATCTCTCTATCTCTCTCCTTATTTTCTCTATCGTGCACACACGTGCGTGCGAGAGAGAAAGATAGAAAGCACCAGCTCTGTGCATGTGTGAAGAGTATGCCCATCATTGTTGTTTGGATCACTATTATTCGGCAGGTGTTCTCTAGTACCTTTTTCGGACTGTCGCAAATTCTATGTTGAAATGTTATTTTTCAGTGAGTTATTCTGATTCTCATCTTCCTTGCTGTTGTTTGGATCAAAATGTGAAACCCGGTGAACTTTGCAGCCTTTCTCTATCGTTCCTATTTTCCAAAATCTAAAGTTGTCTCGAAATTTAATAGGAGAAAAAGTTTACAGACTTTGTGTTTTTTTTTAAAAAGTCTTTCTGTTCTTCAAGTATTGCAATAAAAAATTCACCTAAGAGAAATTGAGGCAGTTTCAGCTTTAATATAATTTAAGACAATTAAAAAAATGCAGTCGTAAATAGAAAATCTGGTAAGAACAGTGAATTCCGATGCTAAATGAAGCTTTCGGATTTCTTTGTGCAAGGATCTGGGGATAAAAAAAAATGTCAACCCTTGCATGAAGATCTAATTAAACAAAATAAAGAAACGATAGTTTTTCATCCGTTTTTTTTTTTCCTTCTCGATATACAATACTCGACTGTGATTGCGAAAAGATCGTCTGTCTCGTGACGAGCGATTTCATAGCAATAAAACAAAGGAATCGAATGATATGATGAAAAGAATTAAAAAAAAAAAAAAAGAGTTGTATTTAATCAGCGTCTTCTGTTGGTTTTGACATCCCTTTCTTTTATTTTTTATTGTTTGTTTTTTTTTGTCTTATTCTTCTTTCTCTCTTCCTCCTCCACTTTTTTATATTTACCTCTCTCTCTCTCTCTCTCTCTCTCTCTCTCTCTCTCGTTCTTTCTTCCTCTCTCATTTCATCCCATCATCTCTTTCAGACTCTTATTTTCTAATTCTTCCACCTCATTCTATCTTTCACTCTCACTTGATCTATTTCACTCACAAGTTTTCGCTTTCAAGTTTTCTAGCTCACATCATCCTTTTCACTTTCCTCCCTCATATTATCTTACTATCTTCCCCTCTCTCTCTCTCTCTCTTCCTCTATAATTATTTCTTCCTCTCTAATTTTCACTTTCCTTCATCTTCTCTCGTTCTATCGTCCAAGTTCGTTAATTCTCTCTTTTTCGCTTTCAAGCATTCTCTCCCTTTCTCTCCCACTCTTCTTTCTATTTTATTCTCTCTTTCAATGTTTTTTTCTAATTCTATTCATGTTGCTCTCTCCTTCAGTTTCTCTCTTCCTCATTCTCTCTTCCTCATTCTCTCTTCCTCATTCTCTCTTCCTTTGTCGTTCTCTCTTTTATTTATGAGTCCGCATTTTTTCAGGATATTAATTAAGTATAAAACGAAACAGGAAAATAATTGTAGAAAGATAGTGTTGCGTCAGTATTCCAAATCTAATATCGCTAGGCGAAATAAATAATTGTAATAAGATTGTGTAGTGTTATCATTCCAAATCAAGAGAATGATGCCCTGAAAATCAACATTCGATGTTTTGGTTTATCTCCTGAATTTGAACAATGACCAACTGACACCGTTGCAAAATAAGCAGTAATTTCCTCTACCTAGCGGTTTCATATATATTCTAAACGAGTAATGTTACCTCTGAGTGAGTTCTGGCCATGTATAAGAATCAATAATTGAGAATGGCATTTCCC